TAAAAAGAAGCTGATACTCTGGGTAACTAATGCCAAAGCTAAATAATATAAACCACCAGTTTAATTGCTTTGCATAGGATCAATTAAAAAGGTGTTTTACCACATAAGATGAGTTCCACATAGACTTAAGGGCATCTTTGAATTTAATACCACAGAACATCAATTATATAGGTGTTTTACCACATAAGATGAGCTCCACATAGATATAAGGGGATTTTGGAATTTAATACACACAGTGAAATACCACAGAACATCAGTTATATATACAGGGTGTTCCAAAAGTAATAGGACTGGTGCTGGCATTTTGTCAATTATGCACTGAGTATCTTCAAATTTTCACAAATTGTACTTTGAAGTATTGCAACTTAAATTATAAAGTTTCAGAAAAAATGATGAAATGCGGTTAGAGTTATGGTTACTATAGTAACATGCCATTCCAATACCCGGGGCAACTTTTGTCCTGAAAATGTGATATCTAACATTTTTGTATTACTGAATAAAGTATCTAATTCACCTATTATAATCCAAAAGTTCTTGTTTATTTTATTAAGTCCTTTGTTGTAAAGTTGTTGCTATACAACTCAGATTCAAGTATAATTTCATAATGATAATAACATTTATTCAATTTCCTGGAATATCACAGTACAGTCTAAATAAAGACCCAATTTGAAGCCAGTCATCTACCTTGATAGCGCGCCTGCCCGCAGGTCGGCATTAAAGACCATGCAGCTATAGAGGAACTTATAGGTCTTGAGGGTCTAAAACCATGCACCATACTCCTCTGATCATGCAATATCTGATTTTTACTTATATTGAGAACGGAATGCTAATAAGTGCTGTACGACCTTTAAAGATGAGAATGACCTTCTCCAAATTGTCCAATCGACCCTGCGTGACATGCTCTCAAATGGGTTCACTCATGTGTTTGGGTCATGGATACAGAGTACTACTCTTGTACTGACCAAAGAGGAGCCTATTTTTCAAAGTAGAGGATACATAGAAATATTAAATGATGTAAAACAAATGTAATGCCCACCAGTTGTTGCATTTCAACTTTGATATAGCATGTACAAAATGATATGGCATGTACAAAATGCTTAATGTCTCTGTAACTTTTTGCGTGGAATGTTGCCCTGGGTATTGTGATGTCATGTTACTATAGCAACCATAACTCAACCCGAGTTTCATATATTTTGTAGAAACTTTGCAGTCTAAGTAACGATACATGAAAGTACATTATGTAGAATTTTGAAGATGATTGGTGCATATTTAACTAAATGCCAGCACCAGTCCTGTTACTTTTGGAACACCCTGTATATATATATATTAGAAAATTGCAATAAATTCTAGAAAAGACAAGAGACAATTCAATTCAATTACATATAATTCAATTGTATATAATATAAAATAATATGTAATACATAGGCCTATGGTATATATTTTTATTTCCTTATTTACACTTTTCTCTTTGTGTGGTTAAAACATACCTTTATGTCTATGTGGAATTCATTTTATGTGGTAAAACAACTATATAATTGTTGATTCTATGCTAAGCAAAGTGGGTTTGTGTGGCATTTACCTTTATGTGGTGTTATGTTCTGTGGTATCATTTCACTGAATAGTGCATTTTTCTCTTGTGTGGTTCAAGCATACCCTTATGTCTATGTGGAATTCATCTTATGTGGTAAACAACTATATAATTGATCCTATGCTAAGCAGGGTGCTTTGTGTGGCATTAACCTTATGTGGTATTAAGATTTGTTGTATCATTTCATTGGTACCACGCAAGAGAAAAATGTACCACACAATGAAATGATACCACAGAACATAATACCACATAAAGTTAATGCCACACAAACCCCAATTTGGGCGTAACAATTCTTGGACAACCACACAATATGACAATTTACCACACAATGTAAATATACCACAGAGAATATATACCACATAACGTGAATACCACACAAACCCCCAAAGGGGCGTAGTACCGTCCGTCCGTCCGTCCGTCTGTCCGTCCGTTGGTCCGTCCGTCAACATTGGCCGCACAAATTAAAACTGCTATTCGGATTGAGTCCTATCCACATTCATTTTATGCATATCCATAATGCCTATTTGACCTATCATCGCCATTTCCCAAGTTCGCTCGGTTTCCGAGAAATTGCGGATTTTGACGTCAAAAAGTCAAATTTTCTGTAAATACTAGACACTTTGTTGAAGTAGAACTTTCAAATACCTTTTAGTAGTTGGTGTATATGCAACTTATGTCCTCTGAAGATTTCAAAGCTCTTGGAATTACGGTTTTTGGTGTTTACTCTATAAAATTTGAAAAAAAGTAGGACTTCGTTATTTTCAGGAAACTTTCTCATGTGTAAAGTCAATGGCAGGTTTTGTGATTGACAAGATTCTTAAAGTTTGCCTTATACTTGATCATTTCCTGCAATAAATTACATCATTAATAGATTTAAGCATTCCCTACATATTTCTCAATATATGTCAGCATCAAATTTTTACCGTTTTTGAGATATTTGACGTCAAAAAACAGTAAAAATAAGTTATTTTTCAACTTGCTTCAATTTGACCAAATTTTTTTTGAAAATCATCTACAAGTTACCAGGAGTTCAAATCTGACATTAGTTTTAGGATTTGACCTTTACTTGACCTTCAGTGACCTTCGAAAGGTCAAAAAACTTGATTTTTCAAATTGATTTTTGGATGTAAATTTTGGTCAGCTTAATCACAAAAGACCTTACTGAGCTCTGAATAAGTAAAATTTTCAAGGTCAAAGGTCATCAAATAGGTCACACAACTATGCTATCTAAGTTTGTCAAAGTTCGAGACTACAAATCCAAATCAATATTTTTGTTTGAAAGTCAGGATATAAATTCCTCTGACGGTTCCAAACTGTGTGAGCATAGGACCGTGGGTCCTTCATACACTTTGGCTGCTTCAATTAAAGTACTGTTCTTTGAGCTTGAATCAAAAGTTACATATTCATTTTGGCACCCATTGTGGTGGCCATCTTGGATTTCGATATAAAGTAATTATTTGATGACGAAGATTTATAACATACATGTACATGGAATCCTTGACCCCTAAAACCTAGGCATGGTCTCAAAAATGACTGCTAACTGTTCCTTGAGCTTAAATCAAAAGTTACATATTTGTTTTGGCACTTATTTTTGTTGCCATCATGGATTTCTACAAAAAGTGATTATATGATGACTCAGATTTAGACATAAATGAAATCCTTGGCCCTTAAAACGTAGACATGGGCTCAAAATTCACTGTTCTTAAGTGTTTTGAGCTTAAATCAATACTAACATATTCATTTTGGCACCCATTTTGGTGGGTATCTTGGATTTCTATTAAAAATTAATTATTTGATGACTCAGATTAAGGCATAAATGAAATCCTTGACCCCTAATATGTAGACATGGGCTCCAAAGTCACTGTTCTTAAGTGTTTTTTAGCTTAAATCAATAGTTATATATTCGTTTTGGCACCCATTTTGTCAGCTATATTGGATTTCTATGAAAATAAATTATTTAATGACTCAGATTTAGGCATAAAAGAAATCCTTGACCCCTAAAACCTAGACATTGTCTCCAAAATCACTGTTCTCTGAGCTTAAATCAAAAGTTACGTATTCATTTTGGCACCCATTTTGGCAGCCATCTTGGATTTCTATATTAAAGTAATTACTGATGACTCAGAATTAGACAGAAATAAAATCCTTGGTCCCAAAAACATAGACATGGGCTCCAAATTCACTGCTCTTAAGTACTTTTGAGCTTAAATCAATACTTACATATTCATTTCGGCACCCATTTTGGCGGCCATCTTGGATTTCTATAAAAAAGTAACTATTTGATGACTCAGATTTAGACATAATTGAGATCATTGACCCCTAAAATGTAGACATGGGCTCCAAAATCACTGTTCTTAAGTGTCTCTGAGCCTAAATCAATAGTTACACATTAGATTTGGCACCCATTTTGGCGGCCATCTTGGATTTCTAAAAAAATAATTGTTTGATGACTTAAATGTAGTCATAAATGTAATCCTTTACTCCTAAAACCCAAATATAGGTACTACAATCACTGTTTTAGCATCTCAGTATGCTTAAATATACCCACTCTTATATTGTAACATGTGCACCGGCAGCCATTTTGAAAAATGGGTGATAACACCCATTTAGCTACAACTGTTGCAATGCTATCACATATTTTCTTACTCTAGGGGTCTACACCGTCCCAAAAATCACTGTGGTAATTATTCCGCTGATTTGATACCGACCAACCCCCCAGGCTGATGGACTATTATCCATAACTACATCGTTAAAAGTGCACGAAAGGCGTTTTAGAAAAAACAGGTGTAATTCCAATATATAAATCCTAAGACGCTTTAGAAATGCAGGTGTAATCAGAATGGCGATTTTGTAAAGCGTCTTCCACTAAAATGTTTTAGCGGATTTTGTGGTGTAATTCCAGCAATTGTGTACTGAGAAAGTATCTCATCCATTTGCCCATATAAAGACATTATTAGACATGTATAGACTCCTGTTTTGATTGTCTGTATCACACGAGCTTGAAGTACCATCTTTATAAATACAGAAGGGTTTAAACTCCTATGAATTAGACCTAGTGGATAGCTGTCTCATCCATGCCTCATTAATGATTAATCATCTGCATCATTATTATTTTCATTTGAAATACTTTGATTAGTGTTTTACAATTACCTGAACTACAATGTATAGGATGGACCAGAAATGTAACTTTCCCAAAATGGTATCAATGTACTAGGTGTGCAAATGCAAATTTTCAGTTACAGGAGGATATTTTATGGATCAAATTTAACAGTGATAGCCAAACTGATATATATATATATAACCCCTCACACATTAAAATGGAGATGAATCTTGGCCCACCCTGTATGTATGTATGAACAGTACACAGTTCTCTTTATTGAGTATTTAACACAGACTTTGTGTGTCATCATAGATACAAGAGATGTGATGTAATGTTGAGCAAGGACCAAGCTGCTAACCTGGCAGATACTTCAATATCAACAGGCTCCAGTTCCAGTAGTGCAGCGAGCAGTACAAGCATCTCATTGGGTAGGTAGTATAGCGGGTCAATTATGACATCACAATGGAAGCAATAAAAATGATTTTCAGGCAATAAGGGATCCTGGCTTGAATAATTGGTCATTCTTTTCTATGATTGCTCAAAAATTGAACTGATTCAACCAACAATGTGTTATGTTTATTTTGCAATTGGATGAAGTATTTTTATCGCACTTTGAAAAAGTGCTATATTGTCGTCGTCTTGTGCTGTTGGGCGGGCGTGCGTGCGGTTGTGCGGGCGTGCGGGCGGCACATAAACCAAATCTTGTCATCAAATTTCCAGGATAACTGCTTACCTGTTCAACTTGAAATTTTTACAGATGCAAGAGCAGACTAGTACCAAGATCTGATTAGGTTAAGGGCATGCTGGGTAAACTACGTGGCGGCCATTTTGAATTTTTCAACAAATCTTGTCATCAAAATTCCAGGAAAACCACTTATCCGTTCAACTTGAAATTTTTACAGATGCAAGAGCAGACTATTGTCAAGATCTGATTAGGTTTTGGGTATGCTGGCTGAATTACATGGTGGCCATTTTAAATTTTTCAATTTGGCGGCCATTTTGAATTTTTCAACTTGCTCCAAATTGACCAAATTTTTTTTTTAAAAACATCTACAAGTTCTCAGAAGTTCAAATCTGACCTTAGATTTCAGATTTGACCTTTCATCCACCTTCAGTGACCTTGAAAAGGTCAAAAAAGTTGATTTTCTAAATTGATATTTTGGATTTAAATTTAGGTCAGCTTAATTACAAAACACCTACTGAGGTCTGAAAAAGTGAAATTTTCAAGGTCGAAGGTCAAGGTCATTAAACTAGGTCACAAATGATGTTATCCAAGTTTCTCAAAGTTTGAGACTATAAATCAATTCTTGTCATCAAAATTCCAAGAAAACCGCTAACCTGTTCAACTTGAAATTTTTACACATGCAATAGCAGACTAGTGCCAAGATCTGATTAGGTTTAGGGCATGCTGGGTAAACTACGTGGTGGCCATTTTGAATTTTTCAACAAATCTTGTCATCAAAATTCCAGGAAAACCACTTATCCGTTCAACTTGAAATTTTTACAGATGCAAGAGCAGACTATTGCCAAGATCTGATCAGGTTTTGGGTATGCTGGCTGAATAACATGGTGGCCATTTTGAATTTTTCAATTTGGCGGCCATTTTGAATTTTTCAACTTGCTCCAAGTTGACCAAATTTTTTTTTTAAAAACATCTACAAGTTCTCAGAAGTTCAAATCTCACCTTAGATTTCAGATTGGACCTTTCGTTGACCTTCAGTGACCTTTAAAAGGTCAAAAATTTGATTTTCTAAATTGATATTTTGGATTTAAATTTAGGTCAGCTTAATTACAAAACACCCACTGTCGTGACTGAGGTCTGAAAAAGTGAAATTTTCAAGGTCGAAGGTCATCAAATAAGGTCACAAACAATGTTATCTAAATTTTCCCAAAGTTCAAGACTACAAATAAATTCTTGTCATCAAAATTGCAGGAAAACCGCTAACCTTGTCAACTTGAAATATTTACAGATGCAAGAGCAGACTAGTGCCAAGGTCTGATTAGGTTTTTGCCATGCTGGGTAAATTGCATGGTGGCCAGTTTGCTCTTCAAAGTGCGATATTTATCACTGTGTGTATTGTTTATAAATGGAACCCTGTGTTAAAGTTTCACTTAGATAAAAAAAAAAGTGTAAGGATCTTTGAGACTTGAGTGTTATACAAGTATTGTCTAGTTATTTCAGCGGATTTTCTCTTTGTATGTGTTCCTTCTACACCCCCAAAATGTAATCTGATTTTCGATGCCATTTCGGTGCCAAATTTCGGTGCCGTTTTGGCACCAAATGGACTGACTTAAGTCTGGTTCCAAATTTTGGTGTCGAAAGGTTTCGATGCCGGAACAGTGCTGAAACGGTGCCGGAACAGCGCGGAATTTTTTCGATGGCGAATCGGCGCCGAATTATATTGGCTGTGTATATGATTCCATTTGGACTGGCTGTCTCTCTTAATCCTATGTTTCTATTGACAAACCATTACCAGGGTCAACAATATGAATAACCAAAAGATAACTGACTATCAAAATTGCTTCGTATTATATGACAACAAAAATCACAATGAAGTTGTACAGTATTTACATTCTCTCTTTATTACATTTGCAAATTATTTTGATGACATGAAATATTTTGTTTTGGATTTTATTTTCAATCATTTTTCAATATGGTAGATGATGAAGTTCATTAAGAGCGAATGTTCATTGGTTGATATTGAAAAGGGGTGAGGAAGTTAGTCGCTCTTGGTAACACAGACACCTGAGTATTCATTGAAGACGAGTCCGTAAGGGCAGGGTCGGGCAAGGGCTTTTCCAGAGGCATCACATTGCCAGAAACAGCTGTCGTCAGAATGCTTGAAGTGGAATTTCTGGGCAGGGGCCTGGTAGCTGCTGTAGCTGTTGTAGCTGTTGTGCCTGTTGTAGCTATCATGTCCGTAGCTTGGCTGGGCAACGTATGTCTCAGCTGGGTAGTAGCTCTTGGGGCATGTGAAGTACTTGCTGTAAGTGGTGGCACATTTCCTGCATGTGTTGTACATGTAGGATCCATATCCGTAGCTGTTGCAGTGGCTGTAGCTCTTGGTCTCGTATGTGTCGTAGCTTGGGGCTTTGTAGCTGTCATGGCTGTTGTAGCTTGGGGCTTTGTAGCTGTCATGGCTGTTGTAGCTTGGGGCTTTGTAGCTGTCATGGCTGTTGTAGCTTGGTGCAACATAAGATTCCTGCTCATAACCATCATTTCTCTGGTAACCATGTGTTGGGTATTTGGGCTCATATGCCTTGCTGCAAAATATATCACAACCAGTGATACATATGGGTATACAGTAGTTACTCCCTTTTGAATCAAATATATAAACCTTTTGCAATATAAGTAAATTTGTTTCCTCATATCAGTCAAACCTATCCCATTAGTGTATTTTTAACTTATTTAGCCTCTTTGTGCAACTGTGAATATAAACTCCCCAACTTCATAAAATTCACAAAATGTACACTTCACAATTCTCTAGCCTTGCACTATTATAAGAGAATTACTTGAATGATCTTACTTCTGTATGAGTCTGAATGAAAATCAAGATTCCCAATACCGTACATGTAAATTCTGAGATCAGACGGAGACTTAAAATTATCCTATATGTAGCTGTTTTTTAAATTATTAATAGATAGCAAAAGAATAGAAAAAGTCACACATGTTGAAATGAAATAATTGTTTTAAAGCTTTTACATGTATATCTATTGTACATGTATTTAAGTGTAGTACAATATGATAGTGATATAAAATATGAAGTACTATAACTTACGTGGCATATTCGCTGGCCATGGCCATTGCGACGCATCCTACGAAAACTGCGAGTATGGTTTGCATGTTGAATGTCTGTGTATCTGTGTAGAGCTACTAAGAGACTGAGGAGTAGAACAATTCAAGTCACTTATATAGTCCCAGCACAATCCAACAATCCCATATGTTGCCATGGGTGTTTTAAGTTAAATCACATAAGGGGATCTTTATGTAATATCAGCTAATTATGTTGCACTAATGATTTAATATTAAAACTTATCCTTTTCTTTTTAATAATGTATTATGTAAGAGTATGTGACTTGTCAATTGTGATGAATTAAAATAGATCTTTGTAGTAGAGTATTACTCGTGTATGCATAACGTATATCATCTGGCATTATTGGTTGACAAAATAATATTTAACATTAACATCTCTTAAAAACATCATAAAACATATTTCCTTCTGTCTGGATGAACTTACTAAACCAGTGTATTTCAAAATGATAACTTTTCTGGGGTTGACTTTTTGTTGAAATAATGACATCTTTAAATAAGTTGTAGTCCTTAGAACCGCTACTTGTATTCTTGATAATACAGGAATAGACAGTACAAATTTATCACCAGATACAGTAAAACCTGTCAAATCAGAACATAATTGGGACTGATCAAAAGTGTTCAGATTAGCATGTGTTCACATTTCAACGTTTTTATGTTAATTGTTATAGTCTCCTTTTTCTGGACAGTGTTCAGCATTTGGTTGTTGGTGTTTGGCATTCTGCAGGTGGTGTTCGGTGGTTGGTGTTTGTTAGAGATTGATTGAAGGATATGCAGAGTAATGGCAAATAATTTCTGAAATATTCTCATATATCTTCATAGAGCTCAGAAAATCATTAGAGATGTTTATGCAGGCTTGTGCATTGTAGCTATCGTAGGTTGTTGTTCAGTATGATACTCAATGATAACATTGATTTATTTTGTTAGATAATCTGGTGGATGGACCCAGAAGACGTGCCAAACCAGATCTGTCATCTCCAGCTCCTGTCACTAGAGGGAGTAGCAAGAAGAAAGCGCCACCTGGTGAAGAGTTGAGTGTGAGTGGTAGGAAACGTCTGCTTGCAGATGTTGAGCCACGCGCCACCAGTACACCCACCCCTAACAAGAAAAAAGACCTCACTACTCCTGGAGGTAAATATCCATAATGCCATAGTGATAGGATTTAGAAATGCATATCAGAGTGAAATGAAGAGCAATGTGAGTTCAAGTTGCTTTCCATAACGCAATACCATAACATACAATTAAATGTCAGGTTTCATAATTCAGTACTAACTACAGGAAAGAATTGAGTTTAAGAAAAGTAAACTCGCTATTTTCTTAAGAAGATTTTAAAATAGCCTATTGGTATACTGTAGGAGCATCTGCAGCCCCCAGCCCATTGAAAGGCAAGAGCCACCTGTTTAGTCCAGCTCTGAGGAAATCTCCCCGCAAAGCTGTTAAACAAGGTTTGTTTCCCAACTAACACTGCACTAACATTGTGGGATCCACAGCCTTTACTATCCTTTTGGAATAGTTCAAAAGCGTTAGGTAAAGAGGGACTCTGATAAATCAGAATACTGCACTAATGTCATGTTTAATTCATGTTTAAAGCAGTATCACTTAGTTCAATGTCAAAGAGACACCAAAATACAGATTAATTATTTATGTAATGAACAATAATCTTTATTTTAAATTGTATCTAAAAAAGTAAGAAGCAGTTGTGTAATTGTCCTTTTTATGTGATAATTTCAGCATTGTTCATAGAGCAGACAAAAGGTCCAATACCAGAGGCTGGTTGTGATATATTCTCAGGCTGCGTCTTCTTACTAACTCATGTAGTACGCAGTGAGGACCAGAAGAGAGCTGAAAGAAAGCTTCACACACAGAGACTTGATACATCCACTACAGATGATAGCGCTGAAGGTATGTAGCCTACATGTATACTTATTACAGTGGTTTACCTTGTATTGAAATAAGTTGGCGCTGTATATGTACCTATTTGATTTTTATGTCACGACCAAAAGTGGTGACATAATGTTAGTCTCCAACTTTTTTGTGGATGGTGTTCAGCGTTCAGTGGTTGGCATCTGTAACAAATGGCAGGTGGTGACATTTTGCATGTTAATGCCTTATTTATGAATTGCAACCAACTGAAGACCCACTTGCATCCATTTGAAAAAGTTGTTGAAAATATCCAAATTGTTTTAAACAGTTGATAAGACTGGTTAATGGTTAATTCTAGTATTCACCATGCTTACACTGAAGGCGTCACTGGCTCAAATTCTGAATATTGTTATCCCCGTGTAACCACTGATGATATGTTGTGGATTGCTTGTTTCACATGCCTCATTAATGTCACAGCATCTAACATAACTATACCTGCAAAGTACATAAAGATTCATTTTTAAGGTGCTTTTGACCAGAAAGAGCTGTATCACAGCTAATGACACAGTACATAAACTATATATGTAGTACTAAGTGCTTTTGACCAGAAAGAGCTGTATCACAGCTAATGACACAGTACACAAACTATATAGTTCTAAGTGCTTTTGACCAGAAAGAGCTGAGCTAATGACACAGTACACAAACTATATAGTACTAAGTGCTTTTGACCAGTAAGAGCTGTATCACAGCAAATGACACAGTACACAAAATATATAGTACTAAGTGCTTTTGACCAGAAAGAGCTGAGCTAATGACACAGTACACAAACTATATAGTACTAAGTGCTTTTGACCATAAAGAGCTGTATCACAGCTAATGACACAGTACACAAACTATATAGTACTAAGTGCTTTTGACCAGAAAGAGCTGTATCACAGCTAATGACACAGTACACAAAATATATAGTACTAAGTGCTTTTGGCCAGACAGAGCTGTATCACAGCTAATGACACAGTACACAAACTATATAGTACTAAGTGCTTTTGACCAGAAAGAGCTGTATCACAGCTAATGACACAGTACACAAACTATATAGTACTAAGTGCTTTTGACCAGAAAGAGCTGTATCACAGCTAATGACACAGTACACGAACTATATAGTACTAAGTGCTTTTGACCAGAAAGAGCTGACTATCACAGCTAATGACACAGTACACAAACTATATAGTACTAGTAATAATCATAATTCATAAGTGTTTTTCTTTTTTTATTTGTTTTGACATTTAGGCAGAATATTATAACCTGTACAATTCTATATAACTGGTACCTACCTACTAAAGGTGCCACTGCCAATACAACTCCTATCACTCCAATCTCAGGGCCAAATCTGGCCTCTACTGGTTCCTGTTCTATTCTCTTAGCTGGAATGTATACCTCTTCTTTTGGTACTTTGTTAACTTCTTTCAAATAAATAACAGTTATTAGGTTGGGATGTTTTGTGTGGGTTGCTACGGGGATGCTTTTTTGCTCTGATTGGCTGGTCAGCATAGTTGAAATATTGAGAGATGTTGCCACAGTGGTTGATGATGTATCTGTTCTTGGAATGGTTGCCATGGTATTGGTAGTCACTGTTTTTGGATAATTGGTGATAGCTTCTTTTGGATTGGTTGCCACGGTTGCTGTCTCTGTTGCCTTGGTACTGATGCTAGCTGCTTCTGTTAGATTGCTTGCCATAACAGTAGAAAGCACTGTTGTTGGATTAGTTGCCATGATATTGGTTGTTGCTTCTATTGTTTGATTAGTTCCCACAATAGAAATATTTCCTGTTGTTGGATTGGTTGCCACAACACTAGAAGTTTCTGTTGTTGAATTAGTTGCCATGACAGTAGAAGGCCCTTTTGTCGTATAAGTTGCCATAACAGAAGTATTTCCTGTTGTTGTATTAGTTGCCATGACAGTGGAAGGCCTTGTTGTTGTAATAGTTCCCACAACTCTAGAAGTTTCCGTTGTTGAATTAGTTGCCATGACAGAAGTTTTTCCTGTTGTTCTATTAGTTTGCATAACAGTGGAAGGCCAGGTTGTTGTAATAGTTGCCACAACACTAGACGTTTCTGTTGTTGAATGAGTTGCCATGACAGTAGAAGGCCCTGTTGTTGTATCAGTTGCCATGACAGAAGTATTTCTTGTTGTTGTATTAGTTGCCATGCCAGAAGAAGGCCCTGTTGTTGTATAAGTTGCCATGACAGAAGTAGTTCCTGTTGTTTCATTAGTTGCCATGACAGTAGAATTCCCTGTTGTTGTATTAGTTGCCGTAACAGAAGTATTTCCTGTTGTTGAATTAATTATCATGACAGTAGAAGACCCCGTTGTTGTATTAGATGCCATGACGGTAGTAGTTCCTGTTGTATGATTAGTTGCCATGGTATTGGTTGTTACTTCTATTTGAGTTGCCATGGCAGTAGTAGGCTCTGTTGCTGGATTGGTTGCAATAGCATCTTGGGTCGTTTTTGTTGTTGAATGAATTGCCTCGGTATTAGTAGTGGTTGCCATAGTATGATTCGTTGTGGATGGAATGGTTGCCATGGTAGTGGTAGTTGTAGTTGTCTCTGTTGGTTTTGTTACCAGAAGAGATAAAATAACTTGTATTAAATAATAACAAAAAAAACAACTCCAAGAGGACCTCAACATGAATATCAAAATGAGCACGAGAATATGCATAGATCATAACATACCTCAACAATTTCACAAACATCAATTTACCTGATGATTCAATAAACTTACCATTATAACAGTTTGTTCCTGTGTATCCAGTGTGGCAGACGCATTCTGATGTCCTGTAGCATTGTCCTCCAACTGGGTCATTACATACAGAACACTGAGGCTGTACTAGATATATCACGTAAAAGTCTATAGAAGATGTGTGTTCATAATCATCATTGTAATGTATAGCTTTTGCAACATCTTCATTGGCCATTAAAAACATATGGATATTAACCACATTCCCAATATTTTCAACCATTCGAAAATTCATACTTCCATCTGTAAAATTGCACATATAGAGTAAAATTAGGTTTATTTAAATGGAAAATGATTTGTTCAATGTATTGATTGTCCCGTTTTCTTATTATTTTGAGGAATTCAGCGCAGCATGTTTATTGTTATAGTTATCTTAAATCTTAATCCAGCCAACATCGATACAAGGGTTCTGGCTCTAAAAGACCCCACCATTTTTAAACTTTGTTAAAATCTGCAATTTACAACATAAACTCATTAATTTGTTAGATTCAATTAATTCATGACATTTACACGAAAGAAAGTTTTTACAAGGCATTAACATGACAAAATGTCACCACTTAAAACAATTTGGTCAATTAAAAGCAAGTTGAAAAAATACCTCTTTGACTTTTTTTTGACATTGAGAAGGTCATTGAAGGTCAAATGTCAAATGTAAAGTCAGATTTGAACTTCTGAGAACATGTAGATGATTTTGAAAAAAAAATTAAGTAAATTTGAAGCAAGTTGAAAAAAGACCTTTTTGACCTTGAAAAGGTCATTGAAGGTCAAATGTCAAATCTAAAGTCAGATTTGAACTTCTGAGAACATGTAGATGATTTAGAAAAAAAATTAGTCAATTTGAAGCAAGTTGAAAAAAGACCTTTTTGACCTTGAGAAGGTCATTGAAGGTCAAAGGTCAAATCTAAAGTCAGATTTGAACTTCTGAGAACTTGTAAAGTCAAATTTGAACTTCTGAAAAGATGTAGATGATTTTGAAAAAAAAATTTGGTCAATTTGAAGCAAGTTGAAAACAGACCTTTTTGACCTTTTTTGACCTTGAGAAGGTCATTAAAGGTCAAATGTCAAATCTAAAGTCAGATTTGAATTTCCAAGAACATGTAGATGATTTTGAAAAAAAAATTAGTCAATTTAAAGCAAGTTGAAAAAAGACCTTTTTGACCTTTTTTGACCTTGAGAAGGTCATTGAAGGTCAAATGTCAAATCTAAAGTCAGATTTGAACTTCTGAGAACATGTAGATGATTTAGAAAAAAATTGAAGTCAATCTAAACAGTATTTGTTAAGTTATAGGAAGTTGTAAGAAATTGTTACAGACGCCGGACGCCAACCTCCAACCACCAACCGCCAACCACCAACCGCCAACCACCAACCGCCGTCGCAAAAAAAACGGAGACCATAACAATATGTCACCACTTTTGGTGGTGACAAATAAAAGCCTAATGATGATCAAAGTAAAAGGTTACTAGTATTCTGATTTCTTTTCAATATTTGGTCTATTTTTTCTAAAAATACAATAAAATCTGTGTATGTTTAACATTTTTGCCGAGAAAAAATGTTCAGTGTTGTTCGGTAGATGGTCACTAGAGAGATTGTGTAGGAAAATGTCAACTAGAGACAGGTGTTCAATAAGACAGATTTTACTTTAGCCCATAAGTAGTGAAACTACAATGTCCTACCCTACCTTCATCCATGCTATAAAACATGAGAGCTGAGTGTCCATAAATCTTAAAGGAGTTGAAGTAAGTGGTTAGCTGTGCCGTCACTATGTCATAAGATGCAAACTTTACTGGAAACCCTGGCTGGATTCTTTGTGGCAGTTCAACTAATAAAGTAAATCTGTTTCAGTTCTCTACAGCATGGTATGTTATATATGTATATGTGCAAAAGCTTTTAACATCCAAATCTATTGGTACACACAACAAGATATGTTAGGTTATTTAGTTGAGAATGTAACAGTTAATATATCATAAGAAACACTGTGATATAATGTTATGCTTTAGGAAAATAATTTTCTAATTTTGGCTAACTGTTAAAAATATTTTTCCATAATAAGGTGAAGCAATACAAAATAGCCAACTTTTTTTCCGGTGTTTATATTAATAAATATATTAAAGGAAACAATGTTGTGCTCAAGTAAAATCATTTTGTAATTTTGGCAAACTGTTTAGAATTTTATTCTATATTGCATATATTCATTTCTCTGTGCATACCACAGCTGCTATTTCTACTCAGTTCATACAAAAATCAATTACAAAAATATTGCCAAATATCTACGTAAACAAATAATCCTGTGAATACTTCTGGCTTTAGATCGAATATTATTCAATCTGTAAATTGATCAAGTCTCATTGTAAACTGAGATATGAGATAATTAAAAGCTTACTATCAGCATTTGGCATATAATAGTGTTCAAAGAAAACCACAAGTGGTATCTCATTTGTGGGTAGGTATTCAGCACCACGTTGATCATCATCCAGTAAAACTGAAGCAGAGTCAAAATAACCAACTTTCATTTTTTCATTTTTTTTAATAGTTTTGGTATACTGGATATTCCAGTTTGCAAAATGTATATTAAAAACTAGAAATTTACAAAAGCCAAAAGATGTGTGAAAAGATGGGTGTCGATATGGCAAACTTTTTGAACACACGTTTCTCTTAAACCAGTCATCAAAAAATTCTGCAAATTTTACACATTGTCAATTTAATGGTCATCTTTTGAATGGTAACAATATAATTGGAAAAAGTATATATATAATTTCATCTATATTGTTTTAGAAAAAGCATCAAACACTTGTTTTGTTCTTGATATCATGTTTCCAGAGTGAAATGAAACATCTTTCCGAACCTCATTGGAACAAAACGACATAAACACAACATGTTTAGGTCTCTCAATATTGTAATTGTACAAAGGGGATTTTGGTTGATTTTAAAAAAGTATCTTGTTAATGAAATAAAAGGTTTAACTTGATTTTTATCTATTTTGGGGGGATTTTGTCTTAATTTTTTGAATACTTTTTTAAAATCAACCAAAAATTCCTTTGTATAACTATAATATTGAGAGGTCTAAAAACATGTTGTATATGCTATTTTGTTCCAACAAGGTTTGGAAAGACATTTTATTTCATTCTCAAGAATTGGTAGAAAGGAGCAAAAACAATTGCACCAGAAAAACAAAAAATGTTAACAAAAACAGTTATATAAAATATTTCTAAATAATTTTCGCATTAAATTGTTGTCAATCAGTCAATATTACATAAAATACCGTGTTTTTTACAGAATGTTTTTAATGATTGGTTTAAGAGAAAAACATTGTTGAATTCAGTTCTCCATATCGATACCACTCCTTTGAACAAATAAAATTAGTTTTTTAAAGAAAGGGTACATTAAAATCTTTTTATTTGCAAATGTTACAAATAAATTATTATGCAAATAATTAAGCTCATTTATACCTATTGTACATGCTTCCCCATCAAACCCCTCATCACAGCTGCATTCTCCATCTACGGCACAGCTGCCATATATACAGCTGTATGAACATGTGACATCTTTGGCTGTTCCATTTACCACCCTCAGTGCATACGGTACTGTCTCATTAAAATCAAAACTGGGTTCACCTGACGTTTCAGCTAAGAATGTCATCTTGTTATAGCAGTCATTGTTAGTGTTGTTGAATAGGTATCTAGCATGTGTGTCCATCCTCTTTAATTCAAGGGTACAACCATCAAAACTCTAAAATTTAAATATAGATTAAAAAATTAAAATATCAATCATGATTCCATAAATGCCTGGGATGTATTTATGACTCACTTAAATGTTAGAAATTATTTGAAATTAATCAAGTTTTAATTGGAGATCAGCAGGAAATTTTAGGAAGAATGAAATAAACATCATAATTTGAATATGGCTTTTACTCTTTAGAAAATATGTTCCCTCTAATCAAAAGATTCATTCTAGGGTCATACACTCTAAATGTAGAATCCCAGCCTATGAATAGAGACCCAGGTTTTCTACAAGGGACCTTAGGGTCTTACAATACAAAGAGACCTAGAATCCTTAAAAAGAGACCTTGATTCTTTTAAAGAGACCTCCAATTCTTTTATGATAGAGACCAAGAATCCTCTAGAGACATCGAAGATAAACATGGTCAATTGGCAGAGACCTATAGGCCTACAATAGAGACATGGGGTAGTCCAGTAATGATCACAGTAACAAAGGTGACAAGTGTACAACACCAAAATACCTTCAGTGACTGAAAGTGCCTTTGAAGGGTTCCATTTGCATCAATGCTTGTAATCATTGTGTATAAGGACTCTCTAGCAGGTGTCTCTATTCCAGAGCATTCACTTCCTTCATATAACAGCAATGGGTAGTCATAAGTGGGCACACCATAGCGGAATCCACTTGCACCTGGAATTGTCAAACATTATTAGATAAAATTAATGCAAGAGCAGTAAAGGGTAGTCATAAGTAGGCACACCAGAATGGAATCCACTTGCAACTGAAACTGTCAAACATTATTGGATAAAATTAATGCAAGAGCAGCAAAGGGTAGTCATAAGTAGGCACACCAGAGTGGAATCCACTTGCAACTGAAACTGTCAAACATTATTGGATAAAATTAATGCAAGAGCAGTAAAGGGTAGTCATAAGTAGGCACCCAGAATGGAATCCACTCGCAACTGGAACTGTCAAACATTATTTGATAAAAGTAATGCAAGTGCAGCAAAGGGTAGTCATAAGTAGGCACACCAGAGTGGAATCCACTTGCAACTGAAACTGTCAAACATTATTGGATAAAATTAATGCAAGAGCAGCAAAGGGTAGTCATAAGTAGGCACCCAGAGTGGAATCCACTTGCAACTGAAACTGTTGAATATTATTTGATAAAATTAATGCAAGAGCAGCAAAGGGTAGTCATAAGTAGGCACCCAGAGCGGAATCCACTTGTTACTGGAACTGTCAAACATTATTTGATAAAAGTAATGCAAGTGCAGCAAAGGGTAGTCATAAGTAGGCACACCATAGCGGAATCCACTTGTTACTGGAACTGTCAAACATTATTGGATAAAATTAATGCAAGAGCAGCAAAGGGTAGTCATAAGTAGGCACACCAGAGTGGAATCCACTTGCAACTGAAACTGTTAAACATTATTGGATAAAATTAATGCAAGAGCAGCAAAGGGTAGTCATAAGTAGGCACACCAGAGTGGAATCCACTTGCAACTGAAACTGTCAAACATTATTGGATAAAATTAATGCAAGAGCAGCAAAGGGTAGTCATAAGTAGGCACACCAGAGCGGAATCCACTTGCAACTGAAACTGTCAAACATTATTGGATAAAATTAATGCAAGAGCAGCAAAGGGTAGTCATAAGTAGGCACACCAGAGTGGAATCCACTTGCAACTGAAACTGACAAACATTATTGGATAAAATTAATGCAAGACCAGCAAAGGGTAGTCATAAGTAGGCACCCAGAATGGAATCCACTCGCAACTGGAACTGTCAAACATTATTTGATAAAAGTAATGCAAGTGCAGCAAAGGGTAGTCATAAGTAGGCACACCAGAGTGGAATCCACTTGCAACTGGAACTGTCAAACATTATTGGATAAAATTAATGCAAGAGCAGCAAAGGGTAGTCATAAGTAGGCACACCAGAGTGGAATCCACTTGCAACTGAAACTGACAAACATTATTTGATAAAATTAATGCAAGAGCAGCAAAGGGTAGTCATAAGTAGGCACACCAGAGTGGAATCCACTTGCACCTGGAACTGTCAAACATTATTTGATAAAAGTAATGCAAGAGCAGCAAAGGGTAGTCATAAGTAGGCACACCATAGCGGAATCCACTTGCACCTGGAACTGTCAAACATTATTTGATAAAAGTAATGCAAGTGCAGCAAAGGGTAGTCATAAGTAGGCACACCAGAGCGGAATCCACTTGCAACTGGAACTGTCAAATATTATTGGATAAAAGTAATGCAAGAGCAGCAAAGGGTAGTCATAAGTAGGCACACCAGAGTGGAATCCACTTGCAACTGAAACTGTCAAACATTATTGGATAAAATTAATGCAAGAGCAGCAAAGGGTAGTCATAAGTAGGCACCCAGAGTGGAATCCACTTGCAACTGGAACTGTCAAACATTATTGGATAAAATTAATGCAAGAGCAGCAAAGGGTAGTCATAAGTAGGCTCCCAGAGTGGAATCCACTTGCAACTGGAACTGTCAAACATTATTGGATAAAATTAATGCAAGAGCAGCAAAGGGTAGTCATAAGTAGGCACCCAGAGTGGAATCCACTTGCAACTGAAACTGTCAAACATTATTGGATAAAATTAATGCAAGACCAGCAAAGGGTAGTCATAAGTAGGCACCCAGAGCGGAATCCACTTGCAACTGAAACTGTCAAACATTATTTGATAAAAGTAATGCAAGAGCAGCAAAGGGTAGTCATAAGTGGGCACACCAGAATGGAATCCACTTGCACCTGGAACTGTCAAACATTATTGGATGAAATTAATGCAAGAGCAGCAAAGGGTAGTCATAAGTAGGCACCCAGAGTGGAATCCACTTGCAACTGAAACTGTCAAACATTATTGGATAAAATTAATGCAAGACCAGCAAAGGGTAGTCATAAGTAGGCACCCAGAGCGGAATCCACTTGCAACTGAAACTGTCAAACATTATTTGATAAAAGTAATGCAAGAGCAGCAAAGGGTAGTCATAAGTGGGCACACCAGAATGGAATCCACTTGCAACTGGAACTGTCAAACATTATTGGATAAAATTAATGCAAGAGCAGCAAAGGGTAGTCATAAGTAGGCACACCAGAGTGGAATCCACTTGCAATTGGAACTGTCAAACATTATTGGATGAAATTAATGCAAGAGCAGCAAAGGGTAGTCATAAGTAGGCACACCAGAGTGGAATCCACTTGCAACGGGAACTGTCAAACATTATTGGATAAAATTAATGCAAGAGCAGCAAAGGGTAGTCATAAGTAGGCACACCAGAGCGGAATCCACTCGCAACTAGAACTGTCAAACATTATTGGATGAAATTAGTGCAAGAGCAGTAAAGGGTAGTCATAAGTGGGCACACCAGAGTGGAATCCACTTGCAATTGGAACTGTGAAACATTATTGTATAAAATTAATGCAAGAGCAGCAAAGGGTAGTCATAAGTAGGCACACCAGAGCGGAATCCACTCGCAACTGGAACTGTCAAACATTATTGGATGAAATTAGTGCAAGAGCAGTAAAGGGTAGTCATAAGTGGGCACACCAGAGTGGAATCCACTTGCAACTGAAACTGTCAAACATTATTGGATAAAATTAATGCAAGAGCAGCAAAGGGTAGTCATAAGTAGGCACACCAGTGCGGAATCCACTCGCAACTGGAACTGTCAAACATTATTGGATGAAATTAGTGCAAGAGCAGTAAAGGGTAGTCATAAGTAGGCACACCAGAGCGGAATCCACTCGCAACTGGAACTGTCAAACATTATTGGATGAAATTAGTGCAAGAGCAGTAAAGGGTAGTCATAAGTGGGCACACCAGAGTGGAATCCACTTGCAACTGAAACTGTCAAACATTATTGGATAAAATTAATGCAAGAGCAGCAAAGGGTAGTCATAAGTAGGTACACCATAGCAGAATCCACTTGCACCTGGAACTAACAAACATTATTGGATGAAATTAATGCAAGAGCAGCAAAGGGTAGTCATGAGTAGGCACACCAGAGCGGAATCCACTTGTAACTGAAACTGACAAACATTATTTGATAAAATTAATGCAAGAACAGCAAAGGGTAGTCATAAGTAGGCACACCATAGCAGAATCCACTCGCAACTGAAACTGACAAACATTATTTGATAAAATTAATGCAAGAGCAGCAAAGGGTAGTCATAAGTGGGCACACCATAGCAGAATCCACTCGCAACTGGAACTGACAAACATTACAGGGTGTTCCAAAAGTAACAGGACTGGTGATGGCATTTTGTTAAATATGCACCAATCGTCTTCAGAATTTTACATAATGTACTTCCATGTATCGTTACTAAAACTGCAAAGTTTCGACAAAAAATATGAAACTCGGGAGTTATGGTTGCTATGGTAACATGACATCACAATACCCGGGGCAACATTCCACGCAGAAAGTTACATTAAGACAAAAAGAGACATTAAGCATTTTGTACATCCCATATCAAAGTTGAAATGCAACAACTGGTGGGAATGACATTTGTTTTACATAATTTGATATTCCTATGTATCCTCTACTTTGAAAAATAGGCTCCTCTTTTGTCAGTAGAAGAGTAGCACTCTGTATCCATGACTCAAACACATGAGTGAACCCATTTGAGGACATGTCACGCATGGTCGATTGAACAACTTGGAGAAGGTCATTCTCATCTTTAAAGATCTTACAGCACTGATTAGCATTCCATTCCCCATGTAAGTAAAA